GATGACTATATGCATATTAGAAAAGAGCGTGCAATACGGGAATTGATTAAGAGATCATTATAGAAGTATTTCCAATTCGAGAGGTAGGAACAGCCTTTCAGGCCTTGAGTACTATCTTACTGGACATGCACTCATTAGTGATGAGAAGTTATTTGATTTCCAGAAGAAAAAATCAAAATGAGCTGAATTTCAACAACTTCTACAACCATCACTGGTAAAAGAAGTAGAATAGAGAGAAGTGTATTCCTCCCAAGGCACTTTAGCACAACAAAGATCCTCATTAGAAAATGGGTTTTCGTTAAATGTCTAGACCGTCTAAATATGCTAACAGCATGACCAGCACATTGATCAAGAATATAGGAGATCATTTCAGAAAGCGCATAGAGTGATGGTTTGATATCTTTTATCAGTTTCCTTTAAAAATTCGCAAAATGAAAAGATGATCACTCAAAGAATCAAATTTAATCCCATTGAGATCCCTCGTAGACGAACGCCGATAAAAGGAAGATAAAGTTGTGTTAGATAAGACCATTTTAATTGGCACTGAAAGCAAATCGAATCCCTTCCATTTAGCGAATTATCCAAACCCCCAACGAAAATTGATGTCGTATTTACTCAGCATGCAACGCAAGTACACAAATAATTTCCATTGAAACAGCCAAAAAGATTGTTTGTTCAGAGCAAAGAAAGTGATGGTAACTAAGAATTGGCACAGAATACTGGCTTTTGTTAATTGAATACCAATACACAACAAAGTGCAAAATGCAGAAGAATAGTAAAGAAGTGAATTCTGTTATCAAAAGAATAAGAACAAGCAAGCCTACGTTGTTGGGCATTCCAATTGCAAATATGACCCCGCAATCGCCTTGAAAACTAAACTACACTAAATTTTTAGTATTCATGGACCGGCCGTTGTCTTTCCACACAATGAAGGCCTTAATCAGAAGAGAATTCAAGACCTCAAGGTGCAACGAACTTAAAGCTCGAACAAAGGAGAAACAGTGGACAGTGGCACTCTCCTACATACCCGACTGGCCAAGAATCGAAGCCGTTGCTGAGTTTAGACTACGTACTGAACACGATTGCTTGGCAAAAAACCTTCACAGATTGGGAGTATACACTCAACCCGCATGCCCCCTATGTAACCTACAGGAGGAAATGGAGAAGACCCACCTGATTCGGTGTCCAGCCCTAAAGACAACGACGGAAACCCAGAGTTACTTGGAAGCAAGAACTGGGAAGCTAATGAACTGCTATTAATTAACTGCTATATATGTACCTCCCCCACCCTTGGGGGAAGCTGAAGTGAAAGTTTAAGGGCGAATGATAAATATCATAAAGCCTGCTATTTGAAATAAATAAATGTTTAGTATTCAACAATTTCCTTGATCCTAAAAATTCCGGAGTAAAAATGGCAGGTGAAGCTTGGAATCTTAAGTTCAAATCAGAAAAATTTCGCCCATTAGCGTACTCTTTATTTCAATGTTGAGAAAACGACCCCAAAAGTATATTCCAACATTAAATGCGACTCATTGACTTGATGGATTACGCATAATTTGAATAGGGGAATTGAAAAATAAGTGGCTGTTACAAAAATAATAATAATGATATAATAGAATGGGATCAAGTGGGATATAATTTGGCTCACCGGGAGTGGGCGCCCCTTCGTTGAGTTGGCGTCTGGCCAGCGGAGAGTTTGAGAAGTTTTTCTCGTCGAACCACCGAGGCAATTCGTTCTCGTTCAAGTCGAAGTTGTCGTTCTTTGGCTCTCTTCTTTGACCTCTCCAAATTAATAATCTGCTGAATCTCAATTGGACGAAACAGTGCAATCACTACCTAAACGTAAAACAATGATTTGTAAGATTTTATCCACAGATAAGACAAAGAGCTGCATTTTTTAATTATACGAATGTGTCCGAATTCAAAGTGAAATCCAGGGACACAATCACAGCAAATAAGCTTTGAAGAATTTGCTAACCAGGCAATCAGAAAACTCAATGCCTCTGGAATTCATATAAATTAAGATTATAACCCCAAAATAATCATACACACCTAGGTAACACTCTTTCCATATGTTACTGGAATATTTTACAAATTTCCACGTATAGTTTACATCCAAAATTATTTCAAATGGCAGGCTTTATGATATTTATCATTAGCCCTCAAACTTTCACTTCAGCTTTCTCCATGGGTGGGGGATACATATATAGCAGTTCATTAGCTGTCTTTTTGCTTTTCAGTATATCTGGCTTTCCATCGTTGTCTTTAGGGCTGGACACCGAATCAGGTGGGTCCTTGTCTTTAGAGCTGGACACCGAATCAGGTGGGTCTGCCGTTGTCTTTAGAGCTGGACACCGAATCAGGTGGGTCATCACCATTTCCTCCGCTAGACACCGAATCAGGTGGGTCTTCTCCATTTCCTCCTTTGAACACCGAATCAGGTGGGTCTTCTCCATTTCCTCCTGTATACCAGTATCTTTGGCTTTCCGTACTTGTCTTTAGGGCTGGATCCCAGTATCTCTGTCTTTCCGTCGTTGTCTTTAGGGCTGGACATGAAATCAGACTCCCTTGTCTCTAGGGCTGGACACCGAATCAGGTGGGTCTTCTCCGTCTGAACACCGAATCAGGTGGGTCTTCTCCATTTCCTCCTGTATACCAGTATCTTTGGCTTTCCGTACTTGTCTTTAGGGCTGGATCCGAATCAGGTGGGTCTTCTCCATTTCCTCCTGCAGGTTAAATAGAGGGCATGTGGGTTGAGTATATACTCAAGTAGGTTACACAGAGGGCATGTGGGTTGAGTGTATACTCTCTTAGATTAAGAATCAGATGGGTCTTCTCCATTTCCTCCTGTAGGTTTCACATCAGGTGGGTCTTCTCCATTTCCTCCTGTAGGTTACAGATCAGATGGGTCTTCTCCATTTCCTCATGTAGGTTACATATGGTGGGTCTTCTCCGTTTCCTCCTGTAGGTCACATAGACAGGTGGGACTTCTCCATTTCCTCCTGTAGGTTACATAGAGTATATGTGGGTTGAGTGTATACTCTCAATCTGTGAAGGTGTTTTGATTGTATACTCCTAATCTGTGAAGGTGCTTCGCCAGAGTGTATAATCCCAATCTGTGAAGGTGTTTTGCCAAGCAACCGTGTCAGGTACGTAGTCTAAACTCAGCAATGGCTTCGATTCTTGGCTAGTCGGGTATGTCGGAGAGTGCCACTGTCCACTGTTTCTCTAGTACGTAGTCTAAACTCAGCAACGGCTTCGATTCTTGGCCAAGGTATGTCGGAGATTGCCACTGTCCACTGTTTCTCCTTTGTCCCAGTCGGCTATGTCGGAGAGTGTTCTCCTTTGTTCGAGCTTTAAGTTCGTTGCACCTTGACTGTATACTCCCAATCTTTGAAGGTGTTTTGCCAGGCAATCCGTCCGTACGTAGTCTAAACTCAGCAACGGCTTCGATTCTTGGCCAAAGTCTAAACTCAGCAACGGCTTCGATTCTTGGCCATTACGTAGTCTAAACTCAGCAACAGATTCCATTCTTGGCCATGGTAGTCTAAACTCAGCAACGGCTTCGATTCTTGGTAACCGTGTCAGGTACGTAGTCTAAACTCAGCAATGGCTTCGATTCTTGGCTAGTCGGGTATATCGGAGAGTGCCAACTGTGTTTCTCCTTTGTTCGAGCTTTAATTTCGTTGCCTTCGATTCTTAGCCAGTCGGCTATTTCGGAGAGTGCCACTGTCCACTATTTCTCCCTTGTTCGAGCTTTGAGTTCGTTGAACCTTGAGGTCTGGAATTCTCTCTTGATTAAGGCCTTCATTGTGTGGAAAGACATCGGCCGGTGAATTCAATCGTTGTCCCCTTCTTAGCAAGTGTGTCAGCAAGCTCATTGCCTTTAATGCCACAGTGACCAGTACTCCATTGTAGGACCACTGTTTTGTTTTTTTCTCTCAGCAACTGATACAGTTTTTACAGTTTGCATCCAAAGTAATTAGCGGGAAATTTGTTTATTTTAAAAAATAAGACTAATACGAGACAAAGTTTCCAAGCACAAGTGAAGTAGTTTACCGCAAGTTGGAAGAATACAGCTCCAAATAGGATGAGCAGTGCTCGCCAGGAGAAAGTCTCCAATGCGCCAGGAAAGAAGGCTGAAAGGAGACAAGTACCCACGCCAGAACCACAAATTGCCAAGCCCACTGCGAGGGCCCTCCGGGATTCGAACCAATGAGCAACAATTGAGAGAGAGGGAAAGTAGAGAAGTCCACAACTGAGACCTTCGTGCAAAAAATAGCAGAAATTAATTAAAATTGGGGAATGGATACTATTATCTTTAGTCACGTGGTGCACCCTGGGCAACGTATACTCATACGGCAAAAAAGTCTATTATTCGGCAGTTGACCTCTGACTTCAAACTACCATCACCTCACTCTATGCCATATTCGACTATTTCACGGTACTCACCTCACCTTTGTTCTACCTTTGTGTTTGTCTCTTACATCTTTGAAATACTCTTCTGTTCCCATCCCCCTCTATCGACTTTTTCAATTTGATGTTCCTTCCCCTCTGTGAAGCCTGAAGTCAACTAAAGGGCTAATGATAGCCATCAAGACGCCTGCCATTTGATATAAATAAATAAATCTTTAGTCATAGCTGGGTGGAAAAGGTCGATTCTTTCTTATAGCCGATCAGTTAAGGCGATTATCGAAATGAAATGAATTTACAAAAAGGGAATCGAAAAAATGTAATTTGTAATACTAACGGAGTTGATCGGCGAGAAAATTATCCGTATACTTGCTGGTGCCAGCTTTCAAAAGCTAATTGTAGAACTGGCAACAAGAATTACGAACAAAAACAGATCTTAATGTAGTTTTCAAAAATGTACTTCTGGTTTTTAGGAAGTCAAAATTAATTTGTGGTTAATAGTTGACGAGAGTCAATTAAGTGGCGACGCACATTAGATTTATTCATTCATTTCTCGACCACTTTAAGGTACAGATTAATTTGTTAATTTTATTCGTAAACAAGTCGTGGAGTAATTAGTTTTGACGAATAGATGCAGCGTTTTTATGATTAGACAAGTGAATAATTCACCATGAGGTTAAAACCAATGTGATACGAAGAGATGAAATATGATTCAAAGTCCAATTCATTACATAGGTAGAGCTTATTTAGATCACTTGGAAGAGCGAAATGCTTTCAATGTTTACAATGCGAAATAGGAATCTTGTGCAATAGCAAACTATTCCGGTTTGGGTTCAATAAAAATAGACCAAACATCTTAAGATATGCGCACTTGTAGGCCCTAAACATCACTTAACTTGTAGAAGGTCATAAAAACTGACCCACTTAAGCGTTATAATAGACTCAACACCTTGAACATGGCGACACCTTGTGCAAGTCAAAATTGGTTTCTAGGCAAAGGTGAATAATTTATTTATATCAAATGGCAGGCATCTTGATGGTTATCATTAGCCCTTTAGTCTTAAACGGCAGGCGTTTTGATAGTTATCATTAGCCCTTTAGCAAATGGCAGGCGTCTTGATGGTTATCATTAGCCCTTTAGGACTTCAGGTGGCTTCACAGAGGGGAGGAACATCAAAGTGAGAAAAATTCAAGAGGGGGAACTCACAGATGAGGGAGGAACATCAAAGTGAGAAGAATTCGGGAGGGGGGAAAAGAAGAGTGATTCACAGATGGAGGAACATCAAAGTGAGAAGAATTCAGGAGGAGGAATAGCAGTGAATTCTTCACAGAGGGGAGGAGGAACATCAAAGTGAGAAGAATTCAGGAGGGGGAATAGAAGGGTGTTTCAAAGATGTAAAAGAAACAGACTCAGAAAGGGTAGGATGAGTAGTGGTAGAGGTCGAACATGACATAGAGTGGGGGTGATGGTTGTTTGAAGTGAGAAGTCAACTGCCGGTAAATAGACTTTTTTGCCGTATGAATATACGTTGCCCAGGGTGCACCACGTGGAGGTAAGTCTATCGCACACCCCGGCAAAGGTGAATAAAGAGCCCATTATATTGTTATATGGGGTGTGCGATAGACTTACCTCCATGTGGTGCACAGTGGGCAACGTATACTCATACGTCAATAAAGTCTATTAACTGGCAGTTGACTTCTGGCTTCAAACTACCATGGCCCGACTGCATGTCATATTCGACCACTTCCACAGTTCTCATCTTACCTATTCTCTGCCTTTGTGTCTGTCTGTCTGTCTCTTTTACAGCTGTAAATCATTATTCTGTCCTCCCCCCTCTCGACTTTTTTCACTTCGATGTTCCTTCTCTGTGAAGCCTGAAGTCAACTAAAGGGCTAATGATAACTATCAAAACGCCTGCAATTTGAAATAAATAAATATTCTGCCATATTCGAAGTAAAATCGCTTTCACCTTGATTGAACACAGCTCATGTCGCAGCTTAGCAAAGATTGGAAGATGCTGAAAATCACGCAAGACCACTTTTCCCTCTAAATTGTTGGAAAAAAAAGAAATGACGTGACAAAATCCACGCCTTTTGATAAAAAATTGTTATTTACTATAAATTAAACAACAGAACATTGAATTGTCAATTTTTGGAACGTGAGATACCCGTTGGTGAAACATTTTGTCGTTGATAACCCCAGTTTAATTTCACTCCACTTCCTGTTCAACAGATTTAATTATTTCTCTAAATTAAAATCATTTAAAAATTTTCTTTTATCGGAGGGAGGGGGGAGGGGTAATAAAACTACAGTGGTAACCAAATTTGAATCAATTAAAACAATTTCTAATTAAATTTATGATCAACATCGCGACTTTATTTTTTGGCATTTCGTTGCCAATCTTGTTTGTAGAGCACTTAACTGAGAGCAATGCACTTCTTAACACTTATCAAAAATCGACTGAAAACTCCTTGAAGTCGAATAATAACCATGTTGCAATCACTGGAAGGATCCAGACTTCAAGACCGTTAGCATGTAAACTGCAGATTGCAATTTAAGATCTATAAGGAGATATACAACTGGAAGAAATTCTCATTGTTATAGAAAAAGAATATATGAATTTAATTCGAGTTACCTCGGCGTACGGTATCAAGTAAAAATATTTAAGAGTGTTTACATTATTG